AAAAGTCGTACTATTATTATATTCAACCTTATCTTTTTAGGGTCACAGACATGTTAATAATTATTTGTATACAATGTATTAATATATTTCTATCTGTTTCACGTTTATGTCATGTGTCCTATGTCCTAATGCGGGATAAAATTAAGTTTTTTTATGTTAGTTAATGGTTTAAATTTCTCTTTTTATTTTATCCCGATCAATTAACATTTTATGAACAAGGAAAATGGATAAAAATACGTGAAAAATACACATATATACTGATAATTTACATAAATGTACACATGTATGTAATAAATAGCTGTTCATATAGAAAAAGTAAAATTATTGAGTTCAAAAATACACGTAATTAAAAAATTTGTGATTTTTTGTCGTTTGAAGCAATCACATTAGGGCAATTTGTACCGACACTAGTGTCATGCCTGTGGGTAAAATTTTCAATTTCATTAAGTTTTTTGAAGAAGGAAAATAAAGAAAACTACGTAAAGGAATTGAGTTTTTGCCACAAACTCAAATCTTCTGATCCCAATATCTTTGCAATCTGATGGTGTAAACCTTTGATATTTCAAACTTAGCTTATTTTATTTTTAAGTATTAATAGTTTGAAATATCTAAGGTCTACGACATTGGGTTACAAAGATATAGAGATTAGAAAATCAGAGTTTGTGGCAAAAACTCAACTCCTTTGTAGCCAAGGGAATCTGTGCGAATTTAGTTATCGAAATGTGAATAACTAAATAGACAGATAATTTACATATGTATAAATATATTTACTCGTTTAGTAAGATAAACTTGAGTTCTCTGTGGTAATGAAAAGATTTACATTCGCATTATGCAATGCTCTCAACTTATAATGAGTGGGTTGAGCTCTCTGGGCCCTATTTCATTAAACAATCATTAAGCTTCCGATTGATATTGATAGCTTATGAGATCACGTCCAGTGGTAGTGGCAATGATAGTTCAGAGGATTGTAGCCGTGTGGATTGTGAAATAGTTGAGACATTGATAGATTAAGATCTTGTGTCCCTGTTGACATTCATAGCTGGCCCTCGTTGAAACATAGGAGTTGAAGATTGCGCCCAGTGGTAGTGGTGTTGATAGTTCATTGTAGCCGTGTGTTGACATTGAAAGTCAAGAGAATCTCAGTTGTACCTGGATTAATATGCGTTTGAGTAGGGCATTTACTACAAATATAAAAGCAATGATTTGTCCAGGTACATGAATATACAAGCAATGATTTGTCCAGTTCTATGAATATATAAGCAATGATTTGTCCAGTTCCATGAATATACAAGCAATGATTTGTCCAGTTACATGAATATACAAGCAATGATTTGTCCAGTTACATGAATATACAAGCAATGATTTGTCCAGTTACATGAATATACAAGCAATGATTTGTCCATTTACATGAATATACAAGCAATGATTTGTCCAGTTACATGAATATACAAGCAATGATTTGTCCAGTTACATGAATGCAAAAGCAATGATTTGTCCAGTTACATGAAAATACAAGCAATGATTTGTCCAGTTACATGAAAATACAAGCAATGATTTGTCCAGTTACATGAATATACAAGAAATGATTTGTCCAGTTACATGAATACAAAAGCAATGATTTGTCCAGTTACATGAATATACAAGCAATGATTTGTCCAGTTACATGAATATACAAGCAATGATTTGTCCGGTTACATGAATAAAGCAATGATTTGTCCAGTTACATGAATATACAAGCAATGATTAGTCAAGTTTTATGACCAACCATAATTTAACTATTTTTAGATTCAAAAAATCCTTTTCTCTCTTTAAGCATTATAATCATTTATCCTCCTCTCGGCGAAGCAAACTAGAAAATAAAATAAATTTTAAATGTTTAATTTTTATTTTTACATAATTCATATATTCATATATTAAGCAGTAGGGAATGGGAGAGATAGAAGAAAGATGAACTGGAGAAAAAGGGTTACAATGAAAAAAGTAAAAGAATTTGGTTTCGGCTCACTCACTCGCTAGCGCACTTACTCGCCACACAATCACCCCACACATCAGTTACTCACTCTTCTCTCTAGAAGTATTTAAAAATTTTAAACCATTAAAAACGTTTAGATTTGAAGGCTGGAATCGTTCTTATCCGAATTAAGAATAAATCCTACAGATGCTAAACCCCCGCCCACTGAGTCACCAAATTTTTAAATAGCCTCAACTTCAAAGTGCCGCAACACCTTGGCTTTTGGTTTTATGTCTCGCCAACTTAGTTTTTTTTTTCTATGTCTAGACATAAATATCATTTTAAAAATGCTACCTGTCTGTTACTATTTTATAACCTCTTAATGAGAAGTAGCGCAAAGTAGCGCAAAACTGAATAGCGCAAAAGCAAAATAGCATAATTTTATTGCGTAAAGCGCAATTTTCGTATAAAGGAATTGAGTCTTTGAAACAAAATCCAATATTTATACCTCAATATCTTTAGAACTCTATGTTGTAAACCTTTGATATTTCAAACTCAGATTATTTGATCTAGCAGAATTCATAGTTTGAAAATATCTAAGGTCTGCAACATTTGTTTCAAAAGATATAGTGATTAGAAAATCAGAGTTTGTGGCAAAGACTCAATTCCTTTGACACAGTTTTATATAAATTTTTCGAGACAGGAACATCAGATATAACTGTCATGGGTCGCAATCAAGAGCTAAAGTGATAAGCTTTCAGCATACCCCCTTTCATTTTTCCTTTACAGGCCCTTTAACTTTAAATATTTTACTATATGAAGCCTTTCTGCATATTTTGAATATCCAAATATACAAACACAGATGCAGGATGTACTTTGTAGTTATAGTTAGTTTTGCGTGAGATTGTCTTAGTTGTATTTTAAATTGAATAAAATGAAAAAAAATAAGTTTGCTTTCAAGAAGAAATATCTACTTATTGAAAATGCAATCTGAGTCAGAATTTTTTGAATTTGAGCCGCGTTTTAAATCCGCCAAAAACTGATTGCAATTGAGCGCCGACTTGAATCTTGAAACATTGAACACAATTTTGAGTGGAGCCAATCATATTTGAGCCGGGTCTCAAATATAAGCCGCAGCTCAAATTCTTTAAATTCGGCCTAGTTGTATAGATAAAAATAGCGTCCCGAAAATTTGAAAAAATTCAGGGAAATTTAAAAACCTTCCTTTCTCTTACGAGATGTGACACACGTTGAGATATACATTTTCTAGAGAAAAAAAAGAAAAAAAACACATATTATTTCCACTTCTACAGGGTGTCCCAATAAACATGGAAGATGACTATATAGTGGATAAATGACAGAGCGAATCAAAAAGGTGTTCTGAGCAATTTTTAAAATGTTGTCTAACATTTTTTTCTTCGAAGTTAGCCAAGTTTAAGAGATTTAGACAAATTTACCTTTTTCTTTTTTAAGTTGGAATTTATGGACAAAATTGCGGATTAATGCAGCAGAGTTAATACGGGAAATTGGTAGAATTTATATCTTTTTAAGAAAGACAAATCCTCTCTGTTAATCCGATAGGGGTTTAAGAGTAATTTTTGTATCTGTACAAGTGATTTTATTTTGGAAATTTAACATGCGACGTTCTTAAACAATCGTCACCAATTTAGAATCTAAGACGACCTCAATGTCCTTTCTTAATTCTCATTCTTAATGGAACAACCTGTAAAACAAGAAAAGATTACCCAAGGATAAACGCCCGTTTACCTCCGACTCTCAAATGACGTCAAAAATGCTATTTGCCACTACAGAGTCCGACCCACACCAGTTTTCCCTTCCGGGAAAAAGTCTATACTTCTGTATGCTAAATATAGGCGAACGCAACATTAATTTTGTAATTCGCCGACAATAATCTTCTCAAAATATTTTTAAATAAAATGTAGCCTTTTAAAGAATATGCTACGTGACATTTTCTGTAAAATATTTTTTTTTCTATTGGTTTCAACACTTGGTATGAGATGATTATCGACAGCCCCTTAAACTTTAACATATCTTAGGTAAAGAGTAAATTATTAAGAACACCCTTTTCACACTACTACTGTCATCAGACATTATTGCTGCATTCGTCTATAAATAATAGTTAAAAAAAAATAGTTTTTCTCAGGCTCAAAAGGAAATGAGTATTTGCTACAAACTTTGATTTTCAAATCCCGATATCTTATCAACCTAATGTCGTAGACCTAAGATATTTCAAACTATAAATTCTGTTAGATTAAATCAAATAGATTATCAAGTACAATAGATGGCAACGTAGAATTTGTACACTCTCAGTACGCCACAAGTGTCAACTCAGTTTTTGTGTCCGACAAAATCATTAATAATAATGATAATTTTAACATGTCAACTATTGTGAGAAAATGTTGTTTTCCTTGTTATATTTGACACTTGTGACGTCGTGTACAACTGGTCCATTTCTTTGTTGCCACCTGTTGTACTTAATAATCTAGTTGGATTAAAAACTAAAGTTTGAGATATCAAAGGCTTACACCATCAGGTTTGTGGAAAAGACTCAATTCCTTTGGCAGTGTAAGAAAGCAAATGTTTTCAAAATTGTATAGCCAAATTTTGACCCACGAGAGAAACTGTGTGCAAACAGACGAATGTGGTTAAAACGATAGTTTTTATGGTTCGTTCTTCCATTTCTTTCAAGGATAAAAATGTTGCAAGATCGATTGAATAAAAGAAAAATCTAATCGAGTACAGATGAAGTGTGGTAAGTTGTTAAAAAAACTAACCAAAACAATATCGGTGTCATATCATTTGGACTAACGTTCTAAAGAACAATCCTCGTGAACAAATTTGAAATATAAAAATAAAATAAAATTTCAACTTTTGGGTATTGTGTACTATACTATGCGAATAATGGCAATTTACATTGATCATTAAAACATATTTTATTTTAAGTTTACAAAAATAATTTATCAATAAACCATGAACTTAAAAACATGAAATTTTACACAAAAATAACATTAATATTTTAACATCCTAGTTAAGATATTCAGTCAAATTTAATTTAAACGAAAAAAGATTTAAAATTTAAATGCCTAACTTTAACAGATCCACCGGTTTCAGTACAATAATTGTACAGCGTAAAACATTTAAAGTGCAGCATACACCATATAAGGTATTAAGTACAAAATACGAAGTACAACATAATACATGTATGGTACAAAAAGTCAAACAAAAAATGCACCTTTCTAAATTCAATAATACATGCAGGTACAGAAAAAAGCAAATGTATTTTATAACTCCGAATGAATATTCTGAAATGAATTATTTCTTAAATTACTCCCACTCCGTTGTTCCCGGAGGTTTGTTTGTGATATCGTACATTACTCTGGAAACTCCGTCTACACTCAGTATCTCCGAAACCATTTTCTGAACAATATCCAGAGGAATATCCCTCCCAGGCACTGCAAACTCCCCAGTCATAAAATCCTCCGTAATGAACGGTCGGAGGACGATTGCTCGGGCAACGCTCGGAACCGGTTTTAACGGTGACCGGTCCATGTGAACGGGAAGGAGGACCACGGGCATCTGGCTGATGTTGCCGGAGGCACTGGAGGAAGACAGGACCTTGTTCGCCACATGATCCGCTTGACGCACGATCGACAGGACCTGGGGAGTGAGAGTGGTTCGTGTAATATCATGAACAGGATTCTGAACAATAGGTCCAAAGATGAATACAACCCGATTGATCCCATGACACACCTGAGTAATAATCCGCGAAAATATTTTAAGATCCTCCCAAATGGGTTCCCCTTCACAGGAGATTCCAACACAGTAACTGTAGGATCTGTGGTCTCCCTGCACTCCGACTGTACGGATAGGAAGCAAGGTGGCGTTGTATCTCTGTTTACCAGAGGCATGGCTTAACAGCTGTCGATCAGCTTCTGAAGTACTGTTGTCGATCCTGTTAAGAAGAGCGTGGTTGTTGGCTGCCATCTGTTGGTATTGAACCACAACCTTTGCCACCACCTCTATCTCTCCAAAGTCTACATCCAGGTGTGGTGTGGTGGCGCAGATCACCCTGATGGCTAGACCAGGACCAGGGTAAGGTCGCCGGGTGACCAGGTTCTCTGGTAGTCCTAGTTTTCGACCTATAGCCCTAACCTCGTCCTTGTGGAAGTCCTTCAATGGTTCTACGACCTTATTATCAGCTCTCAGCTTCCGAACCAACCCTGTGTCGTTGTGATGGGTCTTGATGGTACTTGCTAGTCCTCCAGCAGTTGCTAGATGACTTGCAGACTCAATTAAATCAGGACGAAGGGTTCCCTGACACAGGAGAACCTGATCATCATCCAAATTCATCTGATTGATTCTCCGCTCGGCCACGTGAATAAAAGTGTCACCGATTATTTTGCGTTTCACCTCCGGGTCCGTCGTCCGGTTGAGTAACTCTGTTCTTGTTCCGTTCTCCAGGGTGGTGGAGGAGAAGTAGAACTCTTGCGATGCCTTCTCCAACTCCACGTTCATCTCTAGAACCTGGAGGGACTCCAGCACCTTCTCCGACTCCTTCATCCTCATGAAACCATTGTCTATATGCAGAGCAACAATCTGATCAGGTCTTAATGCTTTCTTTAGCAGGGCAGCACACACACTGCTGTCAACTCCACCTATAATACATTACATATCTTAAAGTAGGGGTTTATTTTTTTTTAATTCATAACTATTCTGTTTAATCTTTTTGGATAATTAAGTCATTTTCTCATTTCGCGGGGGAAAAAAGCTTATATATTATTTGGTTAACTTTTGAAAAAAACCCTACAATTTTTTATCTAAATATTACCATTTAACTAAAGAAAAATGGAAAATTCTATAATTGAAGAAAATGAAGAAACAAAATATGAAACCGATGAATTTAAACCAAAATCTGGGCATGATAATAATTAGGAAAAATTGATGTAACGAAAAATAACTTTAACAATAACCAAAAATCTCTGAAATAGGAAGACGACTTTTAGACTAAATTTTAGAATTTGAATAGTCCAACAAGCATGCTACACAACAATTGTGCAGTGAAAACAGACTTAGTCCACTTAATTAGTGAATTAATAAGTGTCTAGTAAAACTGTTTGCCTTGTCACAATATCAAATACACAAAGTATTGCTATAAAGTCGTATTCCTACGAGGAGAGGGAGTACTTTGCTGCTAGAGGTGGTAGACATTTTCTAAAAAGGGAGGGGAGGGGGAGGGGGATTTTCTACAATAGAGGATAGTTAGCTATTAGAGGGGTTAGTTGTCTACCTGAGATTAGAAGAATAACCTTCTTATTCCCAACAATATTCTGAATATCCTGCACACACGAGGATATCCTACATGGCAGCTCGAAGTTCCCGGTCAACCCGCAGACCCCCATCAGGAAGTTCTCAATCATCTTCACTCCGTTGGTCGTCAGCTTCACCTCAGGGTGGAACTGCACTCCGTAGAGTCTCAGCTTCTCATTGGACACAGCAGCTACGCAGTTGTTTGACCGTCCGATCACCTTAAGCCCCTCTCCAACCTTCTCTACGGAGTCTCCGTGTGTAAGAAGAACCTGCTGGACCCTGTCTAGTCCCTTGAACAGGGGACTCGTCTCGTCAACCTCGATCGACAAGGCGGAGTCCTCACGACCATCCTTCTTTACCACGGTTCCGTTAAACTCCTACTTTCAAGGTTTTATCAACACGAGAATTGAGAAGAATATATCTATACTTTGAGTGTTTGTTTGTATCCAATAAACGTCAAAACGGTTGAACCGATTGGACCCAAAGTCGTTATAGTTTATGGACCGGTAAAGTTGAACAGATTTGCCCAGAATAAAAAAAATGCGTCTAAAAGCTAAAATTATTTAAAGGAATTTTTTTTTATTTTCAACAAAAATTTTTAAATTTTTTTCCGATCTAAACCCAGTAGATTTTCAGGATAAAAACTTAATATGTAATATGTATATTAGATAATTGAAATTCATACAGAAAAATGTCAAATTGGAATTGATATTTGATAAATGATAAACCCTGCCTTGTTCAGCATCTGCATCCCGTAGCATATTCCTAGAACAGGAAGATCTGCTCGGAATATATCCGCATCATAGCTCGGAGCATCAATATTATTCACAGAGCTCGGTCCTCCAGTTATAATAACAGCCTTGTACAAGGGGCAATAAAATTTCAGCAAACCAAACCTCACGCCACGGAATATAAAAGTAGGGTTATATACTTGGTAAGAATTAAGAATGATTTTTGATGCTCTCTGGTGCAAAAAATGAAAAATTGGATTTTGATACTTTTACCCAATAGAATCATATATTTTCCCCAATGTAACGAGGGGACCCATAAAACATGCCTACCATTCGGTGGAGAAAAAAATTCAAGAAAACATCCCAGAATTAGAACTCCCATATCTTTGTTCACAAACATAGTGTACTGCAGTTTCTGGGAGGTATATTTAACTGAATTGTATTGCCCCTTCCTTGAATCCCTCCTCCCTCAGTTTGTACACGGAGGTTTCCAGGGGAAGGAGTTCACTGTACATATTCCGCTCACGTACACAACGATCAATCAGCTGGGCAAACTGAGTCCCTGCGTACATAAAGGTTACAACTCTAGAGTAAATAAATATTGAGTGCATACAAAAGTGATTATTAAACAGGCTTTGATTGGGTTAAACTATCAATTCTCCTTTTATCCCTAGGGGTTCCAGTATCAACTGTACAGACAATCCCAAAAAGCTCAAAACTAAAACTTAGAAGGGTTTTCACTTTTCTACCTAGCTAAGGTGGTAAACATCTTGATCTATAACATCTATTCTGTTATCTGAATCAAGAGGAGGGGCTATGGGGGATCTTAAATTATTGCATAAATTACTTGCATCAAAGAGGGGGCGAAATTTTTTGATCTATTTACATTTATCACTTTTATTTGCGTCGACAGGGGGGGATTCGAACTTTATTCATGAATCTGTTACCTGCGTCCAAAATTGCCACTTTGTCATATTTCTCTGTTCCGTTCTGCATATTCAGTCTGAAAATACAATTATGAATAGTTTACAATGTACAAACTTTTCATATTATTTACAATTCACAAGATTTATGGTGCAAACCGCCATTATTAGTGGAAGAAAGCATTTCGTCGAAACATTTTTTTTGGCCGGGGGTGGGGGGCCAAAGGGGTCTAGGTCACTGTTTAAGAGAAACTAGAACTGAAAACAATAAATATTTTGATGAGGAAAACATGAAATTATCATTTATCATTTACCGTTGTGAATTGGAAATATCAATCCATTAATAAGTTTCATATGAAATTAGGTCTACAGTTCCTTTAAGTGTACAGTGTACAGTGTACAGTGTACAGTGTACAGTGTACAGTGTACACTGTACATACAATGACCCAGTATGAAAAAATGTTATAAAATAGTAGGTTTGCACCTTGGTATACTTGCATCAAGGATTCTTATAAGAATGAATATGATTGAACGAGATTACAGTATTACAAATAATAAACAGTAAACACAGCAGTACTAATAATGAGTAAAACAATACAAATAAGAAACTAGAAAAATGCTGATCAAAGTTTGCACTTTGGCATTGAATTACTTTTTTTTGAGGGAGAGGGGTGGGTTATGTTTTTCCATTGAGTGTTTTTTATCAATTCAGATTTTTTTGGTTTAATCGTCCAGGTTTCGAAGTCGACGTTTTTTAGCTGCTGGATACTCGTCTGTAGTTCGTTGCCGCTTGCTCTCTAAAATTGTAACAATTAAATTAAAAATTAATAATTCTTAGAAATAGGAATTCATGATATCCATGATTTTCTCTTTGAAAATTGATTTCTTTCAATCGTAGTTTCTCTGCATCTCAATTTGTTGATTACTGCTTTAGAAACAATTGAGGAAATTGACAGAATTTAACACTGTTCAGGCTAGACAAAACGACTTTGTTTTCCTCATTATTGATCAGATAAAATGCCCCCTTTAATATGGCATCAATTGAAATAACAACGCGAGTCTTATTAATATTTCACCTTGTTTCTTCCGGTCATCCGGTGTATGGGATCCACTTCCGGTTCTAGTTCTACCTACAGGACCCTAGATATGGATAGATATGTAGAAATATAGATGAATAAGTGGATAGGTAGATAGATATAGATTTTTGCTCATAAACATAGTTTTTTTAAATATTCGGTTTGCTAGATTTAAGTAAAAATATCACTGATTTCACACTCTTTAAAGGAGAGAAAAGACATAAAATCGCTTTAAATAATCCAAAGCGGATTAAGACGTTGCATGGGATCAAAGAATTTGGTTCTGTATTGACTATTGATGCATTACTAAATTTCTTGAATTGGTAGGATTATGATAAAAGGAGGATTAACAGTCGATGTTCATATTGCACGCTCCTAAAAATGTTTCAATGTTTAATGTTTTCACAAAAATCAGAACTAACTGAAGACACTCCAGTAAATGAAGAGTTGAGAATTTATAAATGTCTATTTAAAAGTCTCCAACTCTGATAAATGGTGAAATTACCTCAATAAATTCCTTCATTCTTAACTTAGGATTCTCACTAGCCTTCAATAATGCCTAAAACAGAAATTCATTGATAAAAATCATAAAAAAAGTATTTCTTAATTAAATCTCAAAACTTTACAAATAATTAGTTCAAAAGCCTTTCAAGCAATAGCTTAACGCGTACAGTACAGTACAGTACAGTACAGTACAGTACAGTACAGTACAGTACAGTACAGTACAGTACAGTACAGTACAGTACAGTACAGCACATTACAGTACAGTACAGTACAATACAGTACAGTACACTTACAGTACAGTACAGTACACTTACAGTACAGTACACTTACAGTACAGTACACTTACAGTACAGTACATCAGTACTAAACTAACCTGTGTATTCAAGTACTCCTGAACAATCCCCTCTGTATCCTTGTACATAGCTAGAGATAGTCTGTACACGTCGTGGGAACTACTGTTGTACATTGTAGCATTGAAGAACATCAAAGTTAGCTCCCGACGAAATGCCTCAGTTGTTCTAACAGAAAGAAAATGTAAATATAACATAATACAATTTCGAATAAAATTAATTACACAAAATATTACAAAGTATATCCTATTAATTATCATAAAGCATATTTTTGTTGTATCGTGTAAATAGTAGAATTGTTATCTTTTTTCTTTTCATTAAATGTAACAAAGGATTTTTATAATACAAGAAAAGTATATATATATATATAGAGACATCGTGATTGATTGATTAATGATAATCTATCTATCTATATATAAATTTAGCTTGTCTGTCTGTCTGTCTGTTTGTTTGTATCCAATAAAAGTCAAAACGACTTAAACGAACGGGCCCAAATTTTGTGTCGGATCTTACGTGACCCAAGGGAAGGTTTATGAATCTATACATAAATTTGGCTTGTCTGTCTGTTTGTCTGGGTGTCTGTTTGTTTGTTTGTATCCAATAAAAGTCAACACAGCTGAACCGATCGGGCCCAAATTTTTTGTGGGACATCACGTGACCACAGGGAAGGTTTCTGAATGATAAAAATTTTTAAAAAATGTGTTTTTAATTTGGTAAAAAAAATTTAAATTCTTGAAAATCCACGAAGTTTTTTTTAAAAATCCGCAAAATTGTTTCTTCTTTGATTTAAAATGTAAACAAAAAGAACATGTTCACAATTTAAATAGAAGATGGGCGCGAAGCGCCCTAAAAGCCTAGTAATCAAAATTTCAAGAATTTGTGCGTAAAAGTTTTCTTTTTGTAAAATTTTGAAAATGCGCGATAAAATAATATGAAATCCGCAAACTATTTTTTATTCTGTACAAAGCGCAATCAAAAGCCTAGTTAGGTATATTTTTACCTGATAACCCCAGATTCAATATTTTTCTTGATAGAGCTTAAATCCACCGGTTGGTAAACTATATCCCTAATTAAACAATAATATAAAAAAGGCCAAATTCTGTCTGAGAAGCTAGTATATAGATTGGAGATGTATGTGGTGTACGCAAGAAATTGAACTCTCCACTGATTCTATCCAAGAGGTTACGCAGTGCGGGTTAATCTGTACATGCAGTGCAGTACGGGGTATGTTTATGAAAACCACAAATTAAATATTTGTTCTTGTGTGAAGTTTGAAGTTAAAAATTGACCTAAATTTGAAAAAAAACCAGGTACAATACTACAGAGCATTCCTAAATTCAAAGGTTTGAGGTAAACATCAATATGGTGGCATAAACCTCAATAGTTGAAGCTACATCCAGCAGGATTAAAGCATATTTGTATTGTTGTTTCGTAATATTATTATTCCTGTATTCTGGTGCTTCAGCCTCGCTGACCGGGGCAGCGAATAGAGAAGCATGCTTGTGTTGGGCAATCTGGGACAGAACCATTAGAATAGATTTCTTCCAAACCTAGAATAGACAGGTTTATAATATCTGGGACAGAACCATTAGAATAGATTTCTTCCAAACCTAGAATATACATATCTATAATATCTGGGACAGAACCATTAGAATACATTTCTTCCAAACCTAGAATAGACAGGTTTAAAATATCTGGGACAGAACCATTAGAATAGAGTTCTTCCAAACCTAGAATAAACAGGTTTATAATATCTGGGACAGAATCATTAGAATAGATTTCTTCCAAACCTAGAATAGACAGGTTTATAATATCTGGGACAGAACCATTAGAATAGATTTCTTCCAAACCTAGAATAAACAGGTTTAAAATAACTGGGACAGAACCATTAGAATAGAGTTCTTCCAAATCTAGAATAAACAGGTTTATAATATCTGGGACAGAACCATTTGAAAAGAATTTAGTGTATTTTTCTTCTTTTTTTTTTCTCATTATTTTATGCTAAAACTTGATGAACCGTTCAGAGATAAGGAAATTTCTATAATCTCTCTTTTTTAACACTTCAGATTGTGTGTGGGGAGCAAAATATATTTTGTTTGTTTGCAGTCTTCGTTGATATTTTGCCACTTTGATAAACTGGGGGGCACTTAAAATTACGTCTAAGGTCAAGAGGTGGAAGGTTTAAGGTGGATTCTTTTAAAGGGACTGTAAGAGTTATTTCAAGTGACCCTTCAAACAAAGATGGCAATACCCGATTCATAGGTTACAAGTGACAAGCGCATTTCTTGCTTATAAGAAACAATGAAAAAAGATCAATAACAAATACTTCTCGAGTCAGCAAAACAACGCTGTCTTCCACATTTTTGATGAAGTTACAAGGTTACAGTTATAAATCAGGCATTGTAATCTATGCAGGGATCGAATTAAAGCTACAAGGGTACTGTTATAAATCAGGCATTGTAATATATGCAGGGATCGCTTAAAATTACGCTTACATTAAAGTTTACCTTGTATTCCTTCTCCTCCTCTAGTGACGGAAGTGAGGGTGATGCCCCCCTAGAACTGATGGGACGTGAGGATCTACGGGATCTAGAGGGACCAGGAGTAGGTGTAGGAGTAGATCCTACTCCAGCAGTTGTTGATCCTTCACTCTCTCTACTCCCACTCCTAGTTTTAACCTGAACAAAACTGGTTTTAACTTGAACAAAACTAGTTTTAACTTGAAAAAACTAGTTTTAACTTGAATTAAACTAGTTTTAACTTGAACAAAACTAGTTAAACTTGAACAAAACTGGTTTTAACTTGAACAAAACCAGTTTTAACAAAACTAGTTAAACTTGAACAAAACTGGTTTTAACTTGAACAAAACCAGTTTTAACTTGATTAAAACTAGCTCAATCATGAACAAAAACTAGCTTAACCCCGAACAAAACTGGGTTAACCTGAAAAAATCTAGCTTAAACCCAAACATAACTAGTTTTATCCTGAACATAACTGGTTTAAACCTGAACATAACTGGTATAAACCTGAATAAAAATAGTTTTAATCTGAGCAAATCTAGTTCTTGCTAATTTTCAATTTTTTTATCATTCTTTTTATCAAAGGGGGGGGGGTGGTCTTGGGATGAAAAGTTGGTCTTAATAAGTCAAATTTTTCCCACTATTTGATAGCTTTAGCCCAAAAGTTGAAGCATTTTTTACTTTAATTCAGTTATTTTTCCTAATTCAGAGTATGGAGGTTGGGTATACTAAAAACAATTTCATCAATTCTCTTAAATAAATTAATGGAAAAAAGCAAGAGTATAATACTACCTCCGGAGAAGGCGAGGTTGGCCTTGGTACTCCAGGTGCTCCACTAGGCACTCCAGGAGCTCCACTCTGTCCTCCAGGGCTGGATTGTCTACTACCACTCTTCTCTTCCTCATCTTTTACCTCCTGTTTGACCTCAACAACCTCGGAGGTCTTCTTGGACCTAGGTCGGCCTCTACGGGGAGTGATCTTAATCTCAGGAGCCTCTAGGGCGGGGAGGATGACTTCAGGTTTGGCCGGAACAGTTTCCGGTTTTGGGATTGTTTTAGGCGGAGGTATTTCCGGGACAGTTTCTAGTTTAGTTTCCTTTGTAACTTCTTTATTTTCATCCTTTGTCTCTTTCTTTACGGTCTTTATCCCTTCAGTTTCGTCTTCTTTCTTCTCGTTCTCTTCATGATCATCATCATGTTCATCTCCAGCAGTTACCTCTTCAACATCATTGATCACTTCCTCTTCCTTCTCATCTTCAGAATCATCAATTTTCTTATTTTCTTCATTCTTTTTCTTTTCAACAACATCCTCCTCGCCAACCTTGTCCTCAGGTTCACCACTGATGTCCTCAACTTTTATGTCCACAACCTCTGAAGCCGGAATATCAACCTCCATTTCTTCAGGTTTGGAGGCGGCCTCGGTTTCAGTTTCATCCTCAATAATTTCGGTTTTAACCTCGGAGTCCTAAAATTAGCGTTTTTACTTGATATTGGGTTAAGGAAATTATTCTTTCCTTGTAAATCAAGGAAGACACACCATCAAAAATAACGCCAAAAGACTGCAGACTTTATTTCAAGTGACTCTACGATTATTAAAATGTCCGATTTACAAAGGTACCCTTCAATTGATTATAGGTACCCTTCAAAGTTTTAACTGGTTTATAATGCATGATATATTCATCCTTTTGACTGGTTCAGAATGAATGATATATTCATCCTTTCTTTCTGAAAATAGATTTTTTATTCAGTGACTAGCAACCTTCTGCTTCAGAAACACTCGAAAATTGTCAAAATAAAACTGTTCAAGCTAAACAAACGACGATATCTCGTTTATAATCAGATAAAGGATTAAAAGGGTACCATCGTTTATCGGCCATAACTCAAAATTACAACGACAATTCCTTTAAATTGCGAAATATTTGTGTACCTCTTTCTTAAGCGTAATATCGGCAGTGCTGTTCTTGCGTGAATCTGAACTAATTGATCTTTTCGCGTCTTTGTTCTCCTCGTCCTTAGTATCATCTTCCTTCTCGAGTTTAACTTCAACTGTAGAACTCTCGGCTGTTTCCTGGATTTTCAACAAGATTAATTAGTAGATTTCATAGTATAACAAACATTTGTATTGAAAGCAAGCAAAGGTGTCTTGGTGTATGCACAGGGGTTAGGGCGATTGTAAAAAAAGAAAAAAAATATAGATGGACAACCTTGCTTAAATAATCAAATTAGTCCCGTTTTAAGTAGAAATAATAAATGGAAGATCATTCCCGGAAGACTTTTTGGGGGAGGTTCGGAAGCCATGGGCACGCGCACTGCCGCTAATAGGTAAAATAAGGTTCGGGAGCTGTGAGGGGGGAGTTTGCCTTCCCTACCTCGTGGGGCTTTAGGGCTTAACTTGTCGGCCGGATCAGTGAAACTTATGGTTTCAAGGGGTTTTTACTCCCAAGATAGCAAGCAAGTAGTGGAACTTTCAGAGAATTTTATGTAATTGCTTATATGCCGCGCCATGGACATTGAAGACCAATGATTTTATTGCTGATACTAAAGTTAATAACTGACGATAATACAAATAATCTACACTAACTGGACTTAAGAAACGGTCATTGAAATAATACCCCTCTCGACCCTTCCCCCCCCCCCGTCGCTCACACACATACATTGTGCCAGCAAAGGAAACCGGTTTTTCACTTACTTCTAGCTGATGTGGTGGCTGTGATTGGCCCGGCTCGGGTGGTTCCCCGGCATGCGGAGAACATATCTTAGCGCCTTCCTCTTGTGGAGCCCGGGCATCTTTTTTTTTCTGCCCCGCCCCTTGGTCATCAAGGGGGGCGGGGCTCTGGGGGGCCGGGCTATCAAGAGCGCTGTCTAGTTCACTCCCAGACTGTTCGGATACAAAAGAATTCTAAATTAAAATATGTAAATAATTTTTCTGCAAATATTTCTAGCTTTTAAGTTGATTTAACTGTTGCTCTGAAAGTCGGCCATTTAAAATCATTTTTAAAATTTTGGCGGATTTTCTTTTCGAATTGGCGCATTTTCAAACAAAACTCCAACTATTATTCAGGAATTTTTTTTTCGATTTTAATGTTCCATAAACCTTTCTTGGGGCTCCTGGGGCCGATCAGTTCAGCCATTTTGACGATTTTGAACAAACAAACAAACAAACAGACAAGCAAGCAAAGTATACAAGCTATACGACTAAAGATATACAATATACAATATTTATGTAAGAAGGGGTAAAATCTTTTAACTTATGTACATCATTTTAAGAAAACTACTATTTTAGATTGCTACACTTCTTGTACATTGCACTTGCACATAATCCTGATTTCTAAGTTTTGGAACAAATAACTTTTTTAAACCTGTACAGTGTACACTTCGCTGGAACAGCAATTAGGTTTGAATTAACCCAATTTGGTTCAGTCAACTGGATATTGTTAGGAAAGCAAGACCCCAAGGTGATGTCATAAAAATCAGAAAATACGCCATATTGAGAAAAGTTAATTAGTTGATAATTAACTTCCGCTTAAATAACTATACATTAACCTGTCGAGTAGTAACCTATTTTAAATGCCGCCTAAATACCTGTACATGAGCCTGTTTCCAGTCAGAACCGGTTTTGAAATACCTGTACATGAGCCTGTTCTGTTTCCCAAAAGAAACCGGGCTTGAGTGCCGCCAAAATACCTGTAGATGAGCCTGTTTCCAGTCAGAACCGGTTTTGAAATACCTGTACATGAGCCTGTTCTGTTTCTCAAAAGAAACCGGGCTTGAGTGTCGCCAAAATACCTGTACATGAGCTTGTTTCCAGTAAGAACCAGTTTTTAATGCCGCTTGAATTGCCAGCTTCTTTTCTTCTCTCCGCTGGATAAATAGGAGATGCTCTTCCGCTTTCCTTTCCTCTTCTAATTCCTCCTCTTCTATCTCCTGAAAACACACAATAAAGCATGAAAAATCAGTTAAAATATAATATAAAATATAAAATATAAAAATATATAAAATAATTTCTTCTTAACCCAATCCATTACAATAAAATCTATTTGGTCTGTCTGTCTGCATCCGCCCAATAAACGTAAAAACAGCTGAATCGATCGGTCGTTAATATAATTGTGGCAACTCACAAAACTTAAAAATGTTGTCCCAAAAAAATTATTTTGGCAAATGCACTAATTAACACAGAAAAATCTGCAAGCACATTTTTGGAGGTGATTAGAAGAGCTACAGCTTTTTAAAATTTAAAATTGCATTCTTTAAACTAATTTTCAAAAACCTTTGTCGCCACCCATGCATGCTTGAAGTTAAACAATTGTTTAGACAAAAATAATTTTTTTTCCGGCAAATCTTTTAGAAAAAGGTAAAATTAAAAAATATTTACAAAAAGAAGATAAATGATATGGAAATATTTTTATGTTAGTGTTATCATTAAAATAAATTCATTACCTTAATTATTTTCTCCATTTCTTCTTCGGACACATTATCAGAACTAAACTCCAACCAGTTGATAGTCGATATTTGTCATGATTCCATTTTCAATCAATCAATAAATCAAGTTATTTATTTTTTGTTAATTGTAATCAAAAAAGCAAAAATGAGTTCATCCAAAATTCCAATCTTTCAATTAACCAAGAAACTAACCTATAAATCCAACCACCACAATCCATCAGTTTTCGGGCGAACTTTAGGCTACATTCATCAACCAACCAACCAACCAACCAACCAACCAACCAACCAACCAACCAACCAACCAACCAACCAACCAACCAACCAACCAACCAGGTTCCTACCTCTGATTAAACATCTTCCTCTGTTCCTCTGTTTCCTGCCTACAGTTCCTGAGTATCCCTTGCCACTGTTCCTGTTGTTTAGCGAGGGAGCTCCTTAGCTCATCCCTCAACCTATCCTCCTCCCCTCTCATCTTCCTCTTCAACCCCTCAACCTCTTCTCTCAAGATATCCTCGGACCGAGCTGCAGTTTGAGCAGCAAGTAACTCAGTTCTAGATAATCAAATATTGAGAAAAATCTGCACATAACCCCATTTTTGTTCCTGCATATATGCAACTTAAAGGGACTTGGGACGTAATTTTAAGTGAGTCTATATTTAAAAAGTGACATGTTGGATTCACAATGGTACTCTTGAGACCTTTGTTTGATCATAAAATAATGAGATATCCCAATTTTTCTAGCTGAAAATAGAGATCCCGTAGCGATTTTATCATAATTGAAACTTCTGGAAATTATGCTTCAGAGGCATTGAAGGAAAATTTTACAATTTTACATTTTTAGGTGAGAAAAACGGCGATATGTTCCTCATTGTTACTCAGATAAAGCCCCTCTACAATTCTTTAAATTACTTTTGTAGCCCTTTAACAAAGAATATTTTTGCAAATGCTAATTCTTGCGCTTATTCAAATTTCAGCCTAGACATTTTTGATGCAGGGTATAAATCTATGAATAAATGGAACTACAGTGAGAACCAGAAAACTTTGGAGTAGAATGGAACTACAGTGAGAACCAGAAAACTCTGGAGTAGAATGGAACTACAGTGAGAACCAAACAACTCTGGAGTAGAATGACGTCTTATAGACTCAAATTATGCCTTTAAATAATATAATGGATACGACTATGAGACACAGCAAATGTTCAGTTTCGACAGACAAATTTCACTTACTAGGAGATTTGATATTATTATTATTATTATTATTATTAAACAAAACTTCTGGGGATATTCTGGTCCCCTAGGAAGCCACACCCATCAGTACTTCCCCTATCGATACGTGACCAACCACGCCTGGGGTCGTCTGTTTAAATTAAGTTACTAATATGGCCTTTTGCTTTGTAACAACATCAAATATTGCTTAAGTATTGCTTTAATGTCGTCTTCCTATTCTACAAAGTTTTGGTACTCACTGTACGTTTATTGTTTACCTGATTGAATCAATTTCAGTCTGATTCTCCTGCCTTCGATGGACTTCAGCGATCAGTTTTATTTCAAGCTGTTCCTTCTCCCTGGTAACAGCTGACAGCTTGCTGTTAAGCAGTTCCAGCTGACCAACACTCTCCCGAACAGCTGCGCCTTTCTTCTGCATCTCTGGAAGCTGTTTCAACCAGTTTAAACGAGCTTTATCCACCGCTTCCTCAATCTCCGCCTGAACAGAAAAATTTAAAATAAAATCAAATGAAAAACAATTCTCAACCCCCTCCGAGAAAATTGAAAAAGGTGGGTTTTTGCACTTAAAAATAGATTTTACCCGATGTTGTAAATTAAGTTGTTCTTTGAGCTCTTGTTGAATTTTCTCCAGTCTGACATTTACCGCCGCGTCCAGTTTATCTTGATCAAGAGAAACGTTTACCCTTCCTTCCTTTTCTATTGTTTCGAGTTTGTATATTTGTTCAGTAAGTTTCTCAACTTTGACGGACAATTCTTTATTTTCGTCTAGAGCGGAGGAAAGCTTTTCTTCCAGGGTTTTAATGGTTTTCTCGTCAGCTGTAGAAAAATTGCTGGATTTTACTTCCGCCATATTAGTTTTCAGATCCAGCTTCTTCCTGAGTTCAAGAACAGTTTTACTGTAAACATCTAACTCAATCTTCAGGCGTCGAACTTCACCTTCCATCAAACTAAAAAAAAACCATCAGAATGGATTAAAATTGATCAGAAATATTCATCTACCAGAATACTATCATGTCAAATACCAAAAATCATCGATATAACGAGTAAAGGACATTAACCCTTAATACTCTGGACGCGTAATAAAGTTTGATTAGTGTTGGCTGATTCAGAAAAATGTTTTTAATAGACGACAACGCAAATCACAACGTGTTTTACTATCCCTATATCTAAATTCTTTTCCTGCTATTCCGTTATAATAAAATTAAACTAACCTTTTAGTTTGTTCGACGGCATTACGACAATGTTCTTCATATTCCTCCCGGAGGCTGTCGATGGCCTCCATCTTGTCCTCGTTGTTATTCTCCAACATAGCAGTCATACATTTCTTAACCTTAACGTAAATACATTTGATATAGATTTTTGTAGGTTAGAAATATATTTTTTAACAAATCTAAACCTGAAAAATGTAAATTCTACAGAAAAAAAAGTCAATTTCACACAGCTTTAGAACGATTTTGAACTAAGCGTCTAATTTATTGTTCTTTTTTATAGCGCTTTTTTATCAGTAATTGAAAAGGAAGTTACATAACACTGACTTTACATATTAAAGTTTCCTTTTCCACTTCTTGACTATAACAAAAAAACCTGACAAAATTACAGCAATCTTTAAACAAATTAAATGTTAGAGTTAAAGATTTCTAATCTTTTAATCATAAAAAGTATGAAGCAAGGATTTGAAATCTATATAAACCAAGGAAATACCAATATCTTTGTAAACAAAAAAATCACCATGAGCACTGAGCAGCAATGAGTTTGTTTACGATTCTCTCAGACACTGCAGTACAATGTTTATGTAAACTTATTTGTTTACTAGAGTACAATTTTTATGTAAACAAAGATTTGGAAGTTCTTGGTGTATCTTCCTAGCAACTTCCTACCTCGATATTTTGCTTTTCTAGCTCTGTCAAGTTGTTTTGTAGATTCAGGTTCCTTGGTTTCAGTTCCTCCACCTCCTTCCTCAACCGTCCAAGCTCCTCCTCCTGGTTAATACTGGCGGAGACTAGTTCCTCACTAACCTTGAGTTTCCCCACCACCTCTCTCAACTCCGTGTTCAGTTTCAACACTTCAGTTTCCCGTTCCGACAACAACTTCTCTAACCTTGAAAGAGAAAAGAAAGTAAATATTTGTTGCCCTTGTAAATCAATATAAACCAGCCAATGCGAAAATTGGGATTTAATCTTTTATGATCCGTGTGAATCTAATATTTGAACTGTTCTAATTCCAACTCTACCAAACCGCCAGAGTTTTATCCAGGGGTATTTTTTAGGGGTCTTCATAACAAAACTGGGGAAATAACAGATTTTATTGTTATTAATATATTATTTACCCCCTAGAAAGTTTAAGAAATAATTAACATGTTAAACAATACATCACTTGCAACTAGTGGTTTAACCCACTCCATGATAAATTTACTTTCAACTATATTGATTTAAGAAGTACCCTTAACCCCCCCGTCCCAATACGTCACCTAGATATCTCTTCTCGTTTAGATTTATTCCCAGTCAGAGATCTATGAAGCTCCTCCTTTAACCTCAGCCCACCTGAACAATAATAATAACCTAAACATATCAATAAATAGAAATAATACCAAAATTTTGTTCGGAGAAACGGTAAAAGTATTATAGCTGATCTTGGGAAAAAATAAAAATAAGGCAACTTTTTTCATTCCTTTTAATACAATTTAATCAAAAATGCTTTTATTTTCCCCTAAAAACAATTTATTTTCTCAAATTCTGCGAATATAACAAAGACTTCTGAGGGAAAGCATGATTTTGAGAGGGGGGGGGGGGCGAAATGATTTTTAGATAAAATGTACACCCCTGAAAGTATTTTAAGTTAGTCTTTGTATGCTATAAACGATCATATTAAAACAAGGTACTGACTAGTATTGAAGCACCGTGATTTTGAAACTTGTGATCTTCAAATGTATAAATTCAAATAACCATAACACTTTAGGTTAGGGGTGATCCATAGGAAATGATCTCAAATAATGTGTTCATTCAAGTAGGAATCAATAGCGGATTATCTAAACAATTAATGAATATCGATATAGTTAATCTTTGTTGACGAAGTTGAGAAGTAGTTCATTTAGTTCAAGTAGTTCAACTATTGCTCGCTATCAATTAAACATGGTCTCTGATGACTCTCTATAGGTTTACCATCTGGTTTAGAAGAAGTACTAAGGCCCAGAGAAAGGATTGAATCTGATGCTTCTTCAGGATTAATAGCTTCGTACCCCGCAACCTGTAATAAAAATTTTCTAACTCAAAACTAAACTATGAAAAGAAAAAGCAATTTAGATAAGCTTTATTTTAAAAGAATTTATAAAATGTTCTTAGAAAACTTGGAAAATATTTTGTAATTCATCTCTTTTTATAAGCTGCAATGTATTGTATATAATAATCCTCATGTTTAGTGCTTCATCAATCATCATTAATGCGTCTTATTTTGTCACAGTGTCATATTTCAAGTAGTAAATAAATTCTTGCTAAACTGGAACTATACAATTTAAAAGGTAAAAATTACCTCAAGTTTAAGACTGGAAATTTCTGCGTGTAGTCTGCTTATCTGCTGCTCTAACTGAATATTCGTCTGCCTCATTTGCTCCAGATCAGACTCAAGTCTAACATTCACATTTTTTTATAATTAAAAAGAAGTCAACGAAGAATCATAGATTGATTGATTGATATTTGGACATACCTGTGGATTTTGGACGACTGGTCCAACTGACTAAGCTCGGATACCCTTGCTTTAGAGGCTGCTAACTTGTCGCTTAATTCCTCTGTAAAAAAATAAAAATAAAAACATATCGTTGTTTTTAGCCGAGGTATCCAGGATATTCAGCGGGCACCCAGGATAAACATTGGGTACCCAGGATATACAGCAACCCAGTATTTAGAGCTCCTCACCACCGTAGTTTATGCATTGAGAAAACGGTCTGCTTTGTCTTAGGAAAGAGACTTGAACAGGTGGACTGTTCAGAACAGATTTATTGCAAAATTAAACTTCTTTAACTCTTAAATGTACAAAGTAAAATATTTTTATCTTTTCATTTAAAATCGCAATAATAATAACACTGGCTTGAGAATATGAAAATGTAGATTTTAATATTTAAAATATGTATCTGAAAAAAATAAGCCTCACAAAAAGTTTTAGAATCTTAAGGGGGAAAGTAATACATTATGAACATTGGACAACAATTTTTAGAGGATTTTTTTCTCACGAAAATCTTTTAAATGACTATCTATTTAAAGAGAGTCATGCCCGGTTCACAACAGTACCCATTATATCTGATGTCTTTTGTGACTTTGTCTAACAATCTTTTCACTTTTTTAGCACTGTTTGTAAATTAAAAGCAATTTAAACTGGAGTAAATTTTGCTGCAATGCAATTGAGAAGTTTCTATTCTATCACAAGAGGAACGAAAAAATTGCAACAAAATTTCAAATCTATTTTTTTCTTCAAATTATTCTTAATTTTAATATTTTTAAAATATATTTTAAATTCGGTTGAAGCAGTCCCAATTTAGAGAATATATTTCCTAGCTCAAGTTACATCAAAATGATTTATTGATTCATTCAACCCTCCCAAGGTAATCTGAAAACAAACTTTAAGGAAGAGATCTTTTCCGTGTATTTATAGTTAATCTTGAACGCTTGATCTTGTTTTTCAATGTGGGCACTTATAAATCTGAGGACCAATGCTTGATACCTCAATTCAAGTTATCCCTGAAGGAAATGAACATCATGGGATGTCGTATCTAGGAATTAGATTAATTTATATATGGAGACCAATGCTTGATCCCTCAATTCAAGTTATCCCTAAAGGAAATGAACATCACGGGATGTCTTATCTAGGAATTAGATTAATTTATAGATGGAAACCAATGCCTTGATCCAAATATTCACAACACTAAAGTTTTGACTTCAAATTAAAAAAAAGGGGGACGAAAAGAAAACAAAAACTCTAATTGTAATTTGTATAAAAAGTACAAGGATCTTATATTACCTATTTGTCTGGTTTTCTCTTTTAGTGAATAATCATGGTCGTCTCTCAACTCAACAAATTTATCTCTGAAATTTTAACAAATAAGAATAACAAATTCGGTAGAATTTTATTTTTAGGAAGAAAAATGAAAACTAAAAAAGATCTTTTCAATAATTCAGAATTAATCTAAGTGAGGAAAATCTTTCCAAGAGCATTTATTTCACTTTAGTTGGGGAGAAAAATGATTTTCAAAGATTTTGAGAAAAAAAAAATTGAACATCATCTTGATGAACCTGACAAAAAAATGAATAAACTTTACACAGTTCAGCCATAAAAACCTTTTAAAATCACATGCTTAAAGGAAATTTTTTTTTGATTGGGGAGGGGGGCGGTGGCTGGTGAAAAAATATTTATCCCTGAACTATTTTCTACCTGAGAATGTTATATTCCCTGTCCTTTTCTCTAGCTGATGACTTGACCGTGTCTAATTCTACTCTTAGCTTCTGAACCTCGTTCTCATGCCTCTCCTTCATTGATCTAAAACAGCCATTTATTTTTTTAATTTCATTTCATTGTTTTCCATGTATTTCTTGTGACTACATAACTCGAATAAAAATTCACCGAAATCAAGATTAAAGGAAGTCAACACTACCTTAAAAAGCACCTCAGGCCTTTTAAAAAGTCCTTCACAACATATATTATAAATATATTTTTTAAAAACTTTGATTTAATTGTTTTGGGTAAAAGCGAATATTATATTCAAGTGACCCTCCATTTTGGAGGCGGGTGCTGGTGCATGGCGGATTCACAACGTCGTTCTTTTCTTGCTTTAAAAGTGTTTAATTCTGATAAATTCGAACATTCAATAACGAAAGCCAGAACTGACTGAAAATAATTATTTTTAAAGATTATAAACATGAATATATAATTCATATCTCACTAGACAACGCTTTTAAGAGTCACGTGAAATTTTCTCAACTGACCCTTTAACTATATCTACCTGACCACAGACCCTTTAACTTTATCTTACTATATCTTAAACTATATCTACCTGACCCTTTAACTATATCTTACTATATCTTTAACTATATCTACCTGATCCTTTAACTATATCTACCTGACCACAGCATCATGTTGTTGTCTAGCTTTGAGCACAGTATCTGAGGTTTGAAGAAGCTGAAGCTGTTTCTGTAGTTGTGTAACTGCTTCTCTATCCCCTTCATGTTCTCGCTCCAGACCATCCTATCAAATATAAACCAGTCATAACTCATTCTGTTGAAATCAAGCCCAAGTCCCCATCAGAAATAAGCATCTAAAAACAAATAATGTACCTATTGGTACTCTTAGTCAGAAATAACAGTTTCAAGTTGAAAAAAGCACCGTCTCAAAAGAACGTAAATGTTTTGAATCAGTGATGATACATGCGAGTTCAGTGCCAAATATTAATTCACATAAAATTATAATTTCTCCTCTTACCTTCTCCTCCTTCAACTTTTCTGTAGTTTCTCTTAGTGTATACAACTCATCCCGTAACAATTGGTTTTCTCTTCTGCTGTCACCTAACAGCTGCTCCATCTGTTGCTTGTCCATAGCTGTTGTGGCTGTACGCTGGCTAAGCTGTCGAATCTGTGATGTATGATCGGCTTTCATCTTTTTTATCTCAGCTTCCAACCGTTCAATTTCTCTAGACAAACAATATCTATTTTTTATTATTGTAACTGGTATTGAGTGCGAACAAGTTTTTACCGGAATTTTTTTTCCTAGTTTGTTTGAGATCATAAAGAAAACTTTTTTTTCACACCGAACGTAGTGAGGTGTGAAAATAATTTTATATTTATCACCCTGTCGTAGAGTAATTTAGTAACTTTTTCGACCTATTGTAGGACGATAAAGTTATTATATTGCCCTACAACTGGAAATATTAGGTGTAATAAATTAAATGAATCTAAATCTTTATCAGTAAAATCCGGGAAAATTCGACACATTCTCTATCTCTTAAACGCGGCACAACCCNCCCATTAGAAGGAATAGAGAAACTTTAACATCAAGCTGTTATACTTATTTTTGACATTTTAATCTTTCAAAAATCTATTTTCGTGCAAGCATTCTTATCTATTCTCAATTCTCAAGTTCAATTAGCAACATAACATTTTACAAAAAAAAAGAAAAAATGTAGGGTATGATCTTTTTAGGGGGGGGGGGATAGAGTTAGAAAAGGGTTAAATTTTACCTTCCCCTGGCGGTATAAAGAACCATTAGATCTGATTGTTCTCCAGGTTTCTCTCCAACACTTCTCTCCCGAACCTTCTCTGTGTCTGATTTATTAAGCTGATCCGGAAACTGTACAGTTTTACTGTACCGGCCCGACTGCTCTGTGTTGTATTGTACAGCGCCGCCATTGTCCCCGGCAAAATGGTGTCCAACATAATCATTATCGTGTCCGTCGATGTATCTGTTCTGTGAGCCATAATCCTGACCTTGTCCGGCCTGATATCCACCATAATCGCCGTAATCATCCGGTCCCCCGTCGAACGTTGTTTCTTCAACGGCTAAAGGTCTGAATAAGTTCTCATCTTGGGTCTAAAGCAAAGTTGCAATCTATCTTATTTTTTGTTTTACAATTGATTGATATGGTGGGGTAAACATTAATGCAACCTAATGTACGATTTTCTAAATAATTTAAATAAGGGTTTAATCTAGATTGGGTAATGATTCAATTTTGCTAAAAGTCTGATGATTAATAGAATTTTTAGGATTAAAAAAATATATTAACAACTTAAATATTTAACAGGGAGAATCTTAAATTACAGAAATGAAAACTTTATAGATTGACTTATGATTTATTAATGATTGATTCTAAACTCTGTTCCCCTATCCCTCCTATTTGCATAAGAAATCATGAAATAAAGAAATATCCTCTAGATAGTCATTGATTAATTGATTGGTTTATTGATTGATTGAGTTTACCTGGAATTCTTTATGATTATTCTGAATGAACGGTGTGCTAGTTGCGTATTTCGCTGGAACCTGAAACACAGCGCAAATTAATAATAATGATCATTAAAAATGTCCGCCTTTGCTCTATAATTCAAATTGGCTAGAATATTTAAGTCTTCATTCACCAAATATTGCATAAACTTTATAGAAGTCATAGTGTACATATGCTACGTATAGGAGACGTAAAGATTGCCAAAAAAAACATTTTTAAAAGATGTAGGACAAAGCAAGCGCGCCCATATATTTGTTTGGTCTCAAATTCGTGTTTAAAATGACAGTTTTAAGAGTTTTCACGGAAATTACCAGTTTTCCGTCGGATTTCAGAACTTCAAATCAACATTAATACGACTTATCTGAGTATGAGTATGGGGGGAGGGGCTGGATCTACCTGTCCAGGGGTGAGAAGATCTGAGTATGAGTGTTGTGGAGGGGGTGGAGAGTATATAGAGCTCTCATCACCATCCTGAAGCAAATAAACAAGGAAAAATATTATTTTTTTATAAAAAGCAATAAAAAACTATGAAATTATTAAAAAATTTATCAATATTTACTTCTAAATCCAGGTCATCAAAAGCACCCTCAAGCTTCTCTGCTAATTCTGCTTCTATTCTTCTTTGCTCTTCTTTATCATCCTCCTCCTCCTCCCGCTCCTGAACATAAAAATAAAAAGGTTTTTTAAACCGAAAAAACTGAAACTAGCAAAACCTTGCTCAAAAAAAGACTTTACTTCTTTAGGGGGGGGGTGGTNATTAATCCCTCTTATAAACTAAAGAATAAACCTGCTGATTGACTGTATCCAACTGCAAGGAAACCCCATTCTGAAACAAACTGAGCCCTGGGTTATCCATTCTCTTTCTGGAACAAAGTTTAATGATAAGTAGCATCAATTCAACAATTGAATCTGATGAAACGAGAGAGAGAAGTTTACATTTAAATTAACATGGACACGAACAGTTACTTCCGCCACCAACGCAGGAAACTGAGCAGGCAACAGGAAATTCGGAATTTTATTTTAAAAAACATTTTCAATTATCATCAAAACTAATAAAATGGCGGTATAAGATGTTTTTTTACTTATAACACAAATTGCACTCAAGTTTTTCATCTTTCCATTTACCAAATTTTAGTGATCAAGCAATAACAATATTTTAAATATTTCTGAAGGTCAAACATTTTGGGCCCGCCCCCCGTATTAAAAAAAAAACATTTAACAATTCCGTTTCCTGCTCAGTCTATGGAATATTCCTCTATGTGGAATAAAGTATTTGAAATGCGTTTTTCGTTTATCAGGTCAATAGGATTCCGTTGGAATATTTACAATACCTGTAAATATTTACGATAATTTACAATAATTCATCATGCAAAATTTAACAATACAAATTACTGCAAAAATTATGAAGGAAAATTACGAATTCTGTAGAAACTGTATTTTAAAAAAAGAATAGCATTCATTTAAATACTTGGAACTTTTTTAATTTGTAATACCCAAGTTGATTTGTTTTGTTTTATGAATGGGCTTTCTCAAATAGTTGTTTTTATGTCGTTGTAGTAAATTAAACCTAAAAACCGGTTTTAAGCGGACCATTTAGCCCGGAATAATACAATAATACAATCTATAAGATTGATAATTAAAACACAAGAAATACAATATTTTTATATGGTAGAGAATTATTGAACTGGGATTAAATGAACACAGTGGAATAATTTTTATTTACATTGTGTTTTTGTTTTAAAAATTCAAACCACCATACACTGGCAAATTTGAAAGTAACCTTATACTAGGCCTTCTGGTGATTTTGCCTCCCAAAAACCCTTGTATCTTTAATTTAAGAAAAATGTACGCTCATGTCACTTTAAGTAAATAAAAATTAATAATTCACAGCGAAATAATAAAATTTTCAGGAAAACATCAATATAAAGGGATCAAGGAGTCAAGGGTACCCTTGAAGGAACAGTCGAAGGAACAGTTGAAGGAACAGTTGAAGAAACAGTTGAAGGAACAGTTGAAGGAACAGTTGAAGAAACAGTTGAAGGATCAGTTGAAGGAATAGTTAAAGGAACAGTTGAAGGATCAGTTGAAGGAACAGTTAAAGGATCAGTTTGTTGAAGGAACAGTTGAAGGATCAGTTGAAGGATCAGTTGAAGGAACAGTTGAAGGAACAGTTGAAGGAACAGTTGAAGGAACAGTTGAAGAAACAGTTGAAGGAACAGTTGAAGGAACAGTTGAAGGAACAGTTGAAGGACCAGTTTAAGGATCAGTTTAAGGAACAGTTGAAGAATCAGTTGAATGAACAGTTGAAGGAACAGTTGAAGGGACAGTTGAAGGATCAGTTTAAGGAATAGTTAAAGTATACTTAAGGACGTTGTGTTTATGATGTGTTCGATTATGTTAAGAAATATGAAAAAGACGGTACTGGACATTTAGGCAACGAACAAAATAATCAAGATGTTAAGAACAATTTCGACTATACATTATACAAGGAGTCAATGATAGTGATTCATGACTCCTTTAAGAATTTAACAAAATTATTATAATACATTGTACATGGTTTACCATACAATTTGGGAAAAAAAGGAGGTAAAAAGTCGAATCCGCCAAAATGGTTTTGTTTTCATGAGAATCCCATATTCAGATTTGGAATCCCATATTCTGATATAGAATTTCATATTCTGATTTAGAATCCCATCTTAGAATCCAATATTCTGATTATGTGTCTGTCTTTTAGCTTCCTCCTCCTTCACCTTCTGCTCTATCAGATATTGAGCTGTGGACAAACAGTTCTTGGGACCTACAATATCGAATATTCGATGATCCAGGGTGTCCCACATTATGTCGGATCGTTTATAGACGTTAATTTTGATTTTCGGAACTTGTCAGTAAAAAAAAAAAGAATGAATCATCTTTAAAAAAATTGGATAAGCCTAATTTAAAAATTTACATGCAGAAAAGAACTAGATTTTTTTAGTAATATGTGTGAATTTTGGCTTTATAGCTTGGAGATAATCCAATATGATATGGGGCGCTTTGTACTCAAAACTAAGTATAAATACTAAAAAAAATTTGTTGGTGATATAAACACTAGTTCTGAAAGTTATGAAATCTGACAAACTTTGCGATTTTTAATTTATAAAATATAAAAATCGGTAATTATATTATTTTTTAGGAAATGTTAAAAAAAGAGACTTTTCCTTTCTTCTTAAAACCCCCCCCCCCCCCCCCCCC